GTAGGCCTGGCAGCAACCAGGGCCGCGTTCAATATCTAGGGATCCAACTCACACAGAACCGGCTCGAACCCCGACCCAGTAACCTGGGAAATTCACACACCCATGGGTGCCTCTGAGAGGCAATGCTTCCCCACTCGCAAGCACAGAGTCAGAGTGTAGGAAAGAAACATTTAATAAAACAGAGAGGCTGTGTCTAGATTGGCAAGTTTTTCTGCAAAAGCAGCTGCTTTTGTGGAAAAACTTGCCAGCTGTCTACACTGGCCGCTTGAATTTCCGCAAGAACACTGATGATCTCATGTAAGATTGTCAATGTTCTTGCGGAAATACTATGCTGCTCCCATTCGGGCAAAAGTCCTTTTGCACAAAGCATTTGCGTAAAAGGGCCAGTGTCGACAGCTGAGATTTGTTTTGTGCAAAAAAGCCCCAATCACGAAAATGGCGATCAGGGCTTTTTTCTGCAAAAGCGCGTCTAGATTGGCCACGGACTCTTTTCCGCAAAAAGTGCTTTTGCGGCAAAGCATCCGTGCCAATCTAGACGTTCTTTTCCAAAAATGCTTTACAAGCATTTCCGGAAAATCATGCCAGTCTAGACGTAGCCAGGGGGAAAGAGGCAGGTTGGGCCAGTCTTACCGCTCATAGGTGTAACACAGGCTGACTCAAGCCCTTTAACCCTTCCCCCCAGCTCAGTCCACTCAAATCTGGAAGAGGGGAGGCTTGTTCCTCGGAGACCTCTTACAATGATGGTGTCTCTCCTGCAAGCACTGGTGTCATGTTTTACCATTCCCACATTTAGGGGTAACATGATTTGTGACCCCCCACAACAGCCCCAAATTATTTACAATACACCACATTCCATTCCAATACTGATCCTCTGTCAGCCCTGGCTGAATTGGATTTACATAGCCACACCTTGTATTCCCTCCCCCTCCTGGCATGAGCTATATTTACATATCGACAGTTAACAGTTAGTTAATTATGTTGCAGAGCTAAACAATTGGAGTGGGCACACCCACGTTCAGGGCAGCACTCTCCTTTTAGCTGGCTGATAGCAAGCAGCAGTTCAGCCCCTGCTTACAAATGTGTGTGCACTCTTTTGAGATTGTTGGACAAAAGGTGCTGTAGAAGGGCAAAGTGGTAGTAAACCACTGGTTGAAACACATACCTGGAGCCCTTGGAATGCATGTTTTCATTCCAGGCCATGGGGAGAAAAAGTACACCTGCAAAATTAGCAGGCTCAGGGCAGATTTTGAAGACATATTCCCTCAGTGGAGGACATGGCCCTTCTCACGTTCCTGTCTTCCAAATGATCATTATCAGACTCCCCCTGCCACCTTGAAGTTTGGCCTGTTGCTGGCGGCTTCTGGAGCTCAGTCTGTGGTGCCAGGACAGGCAGGAAGATATCTTAGCACCTCCACTGGTCACCTGCAGCAACGAGACCCAGTGCCTGACATTTCACGACCCACTTCTCTGCCACGACCCGAAGTATGAAAACCACTGATCAAAGGGTTTCTGAGGTATTTGCTGTTAAATCTGGTTTCTTGGTAGAGATACCAGGTTTTCTTACAACTTCCCTTCATGTTTTCAACAGCTTATGAATGTGGATATGTCTGCAGGGGGAAAGCATCGAAGATATTGTGTGGTGTAATTTCTGACCTTGAGATGTTGCCAACACAGTGCTTCTTCTGGCAAATATTTCCACTGATTCTGGAGTCGGATGACAGCTTGCAGGCTCATCTTCCTCTCTGCTGTGTCTGACCGTGACCGTTTTTCATTTGGCTTAGGATGCAGTCTATATTTTCCAGAGGTGCAGATGCTGGAGAAGTAAGACACACCAGACGTACACATCCCATGATCAATCCTCACTCTCCAAGTGTCTATTGACATGGATGGAAGAGCTTCAACTTATTCATGAACTTCAGCTATAAGGGTACGTCTACACTACATGCCTCTGTCGGCAGAGGCATGTAGATTTGTTTGTTCAGCAAAGGTAAATGAAGCCGCGATCATTTAAATCGCGGCTTCATTTACATTTACAGGGCTGCCGCGCTGAGCCGACAAACAGCTGATCAGCTGTTTGTCGGCTCAGCGCGGCAGCCCTGTAAATGTAAATGAAGCCGCGATCATTTAAATCGCGGCTTCATTTACATTTACAGGGCTGCCGCGCTGAGCCGACAAACAGCTGATCAGCTGTTTGTCGGCTCAGCGCGGCAGCCCTGTAAATGTAAATGAAGCCGCGATCATTTAAATCGCGGCTTCATTTACATTTACAGGGCTGCCGCGCTGAGCCGACAAACAGCTGATCAGCTGTTTGTCGGCTCAGCGCGGCAGCCCTGTAAATGTAAATGAAGCCGCGATCATTTAAATCGCGGCTTCATTTGCCTTTGCTGATCTGTCTAATCTACATGCCTCTGCCGACAGAGGCATGTAGTTTAGATACAGCCTAAGATTCCAGTGGTCAGAGAGATGAAAACATCATCTACCTTTTGGAACTTCTGCTTCTTAAAATAATTCCTTATAAAAGTTGCTTTAAAAGTTTCTAAATATCAATAGAGATCATAGAAATGTTGGGCTAGAAGGGATCTAGAGAGGTCACCTAGACCAGTCCTTGGCGTGGAGACAGAACCACATATACCTAGTTCATTTCCAACAGGTGTTTATCTAAACACCTCCAATGTTCTGTTCTTTAAAACCTTCAATGACACACCCTCCACCTCGCCTGGAAATCTTATTTATCCTTGTAGTCAGCAAGTATTTCCTACTATCTAACCTAAAACTCCCTTGCTGCAGATTAAGCCCATTATCTCTTCTCCTACCTTCAGTGGACATGGAGAACAATTGATCACAATCCTCTTTATATCACCCTTTCATTTATTAGACCACGTTCCTCCTCAGTTGTCTTTACTCAAGATTAAACATGCCCAGGTTTTTTTTTAACCTTTCCTCATAGGTTGGGTTTCCTAACCCATTTATCATTTTTGTTGCTTTCCTCTGCATTGTCTCCAGTTTATCCACATTTTCCCTAAAGTTTCCTGCCTGGAACTGGACAGCTGGTGTCTCACTCGTGCTGAGTGGAGCAAAGCGGTTGCCTCCCATGTCTTACGTATGACACTCCTTTTATATACTCCAGAATATTTGTCTTTTTCACAACTGTGTCACATTGTTGACTCATATTCAATTTGCAATCTTCTTTCACTGCCAGAGCCCATCAACAGTACTACTGACTAGCCAGTTATTACCCCATAGCTGTTTGATTTCCCCCCCCACACACACACACCCCTAAGTGTAGGACTTTGCAAATTCTCTGTTGAATTTCAACTTGTTGATTTCAAGTTCATGTGGTCCAATTTGTTCATTTTGTCCAATTTGTCAAGTTCATTTTGAATGCCAATTTTCTCCTCCAAAGTTCTAGCAACCCCTCCCCAGATTCGTGTTCACACACACACACACACACACACACACGGACCTACAGCTTGATTCAGTAATGCTTGAGTAATGCTTCAGCAAGATTCCTGGCTAAAGAGATGGAGTATAATTTTCGGGCTCTCCTAGGATGGCAAAATAGTTCATAGATTTGAGGTATTAGCTCAGACATTCTGTCAAGGTGTGAATCCACCTCAGGTCTGATCCACAGAGTCCTGCGTGGATACAAAATTGGTATCCACAACTGCAAAAATTATTTGTGGATATTTGCATCCACGCAGATGTGGACATCTATGGATATAAAGAAGATACGTGAAAATTCGAGGGGTTCTGGATACAAGATTTGTATCTGCATGTGTATTTGCAAAAATGAGCCACGAATACCTGCATCCACATCCACATGTTTGCAGGGCTCTACTTATCCAGACACTTGAAACTGGTGGAGAAAGCCCTGTTTATTTCAGTGTGCTTTGGTTCAGGCTCAAAGGTGCAAACCATTTAAGCCTGGGCTTTAAATCCAACTCTTAAGCATGTGTTTCTTTTTAATATTGATTAGACAACTCTCTTGCCTTTCAGTGGTTTGGCATGATCATACAGCATCATGTTCTCACCTCTAGCAGGCTAACATTAGTCAGAAAGAACCTACCAGATCTAGATATAGAGATATTTGAGGTTTGCAATTCTTTCCGCCTTTATGAAGCGGAAAGACAACATGAACGCTTGATTGTATGGGTATATTTTCTTGGGTTTTAAAAGTATCAGGAATAGATATCCTGGGTTTTCTTGAGAGAATTAGTTAGGTTTATTGTGAGCACTCTCCCTTAACTGGAGTAGCAAAATGCTCATGAGTCCTTGGAGTTAAATATTTTTAAAAATTCAACAAATAAAATAGTTCTAACTTGTCTGACTAAAAAGCCTTCCCTCTCTAACTTGTTCAGCTTTCAGCCTGTTGATCACACAGACCTTTAACTTCCTTTCTAAAATGGTGGTTAAACACCCCTTTTCTATTCTGGTTCTTATTCCACCCCAATTCCAGGTGGTATTTGAGCACCTAACATGTCCAACTTCTACCTCTGAACAGACACTTGTATGTCAGCACTTGCAAATAACCAGAGTGTATTTTTCAGATCACTGTAAGCAAACTGCTCCACTGTTAATCGCCTTGACTGCACCTGGTGGCCAAAAGTTCTGAAAATAATAATTGGGCTCATGTTTAGCACTTTTGCCATATGTTTCTGTAATAGGAGAGGAGTTGAATTTACACAGAGTATGGGAGACAGAGATGCTTTTGTCTGGAATTACAAGGCTGTGGACCAACTCAGTGCCTTGATCTGTAACAAATGGCTGTAAGTTCTTCAGGTCTTGTTATGTTTCCCAAAGGTTGTGGTCTTTATCAGTCTGTCCAGTGGAGGAGGAAGAAAGGCATCCCTTTAAATTGTCCAGTAGTAGATGATTGCTTCCCTCAGACTGGCAGCTGGTGCTGACACAGTGCTGTTCTCCAGGGAGTGCCCCATTCCACCACAAGAGGCAGCAGGCTCCATTTAAGTAGCTTTGGTTGCAGAAGAACCTGCAGAGTGTGTCAGAGTGGGACCTGGAGCTGATGTTCTATTCCTTTGTCATTACATTTCAGATGGAGACCAAACTTTGCACCAGTCTAATTACCCACGGCTATGGCATGCTGAAACGAGCTTTTGTGGATATCTACCTCATGTACAACTGAATGATTGCAGTGGCAGGCCACTATTGGTACAACCGCCTATGCTGGACAAGCAGAGTACGGAGTCATTGGGAGGTGAAGACAGTGAGTAACCTGTTAATGGGCTGAGGAAGGGCAGATGACTGTGCTATGAGGTGGCTTTGTGCCGCAAAGCTACTTAATACTGCTTGAACGTATTGCAACGCCCCACCAAAACAATTTCCATAGCTGAAAGGATGTCACTACATTAACTCAGCTACCCCCTGAAGCTACTACAGTAAAGGTTACTTTGGAGACTGGGTCATCCTAGCCTTGCCTAGGTGGTGTCTTTCAGATGCATGGTTATTCCTTTCTGCTCTTCTCTGGTAGCTATTCAAATGGAAGGGAAAGATGCCAACAAGAAGTCTGTTCCCACCATTGTCTCCCCATCATTGCAAAACAGGTTTTAGAGTAGATAAGGTGGCATCTACTGCTGAGCACAAAATGGCTGTTGCAGTTGCTGATACAATCAATCGGTGACCCATATCCAGGCTTTGAGACCTAGGACATGAAGTATGTTATGTGAAGCCAGCATCAGGAGGGAGATCAGGTAGCAGGAGATGGCCCAAGAAGACTGTAGGCCTGGTTCTACCCACAGTCTGCATACACTGTTCTCACTGAAGACATAGGGAGGTGGTTTGCTAACTAAGGCCCTGGACCAATAATCAGCAATAGCAAAGGGAGCTGTTCAATTGACTTCAAAGGCATTGCAATTGGGCCTTAAAAGAAAAAAGATTTTTTTCAGTGCTTGTGCTAGTTTCACCAAGGATAAATTAGGCTATTTTTTCACTAGAAAGGCTGCAGAGCCACGGTTGTAATGCTTCAGTATGGCCAGTCAAAACAGTGAGGGGAGGGGAGAGGGTCTCCTATCACTGTAGTTAATCCACCTCCATACGAGGTGGTAGCCAGATCAGCAGAAGAATTCTGCTGATGACCTAGCACTGTCTATCCTGATGGTTAGTTTATCTTAACGACATTGCTTTTTCACACCCCTGAGCAATGTAGCACTAACTTTTTAGTGTAGATCTGGCCTTCCATTAACAAATTCAGCCAGCAGAGGACAATCACTCTACCTGCTGGTCTTGTTGAACATCCATGTTTGGAGAGAACTCCTGTTTGGCTGGACTGGTTGAGCCAGACAGCCATTAGGACATAAAAAAAGAATAAGGAGAAAAAGATTATTTTCTCCTAGACATGCAACGGAATGACACAAACCAAGCTAACACAAAAGACAGACCAGTAGAACAGGGGGAAAATACCGGTAGACCAGGGAAAATGCCCTTCATAAAACTCTTCCATAGTGGCAAGTACACTAATAAGAGAAGGAGTCTGAGTGCATGGAGGGATTAAGGTGAAAAGAAGTTGTGATGTAAACCTCATGTTTCTGTTCATATTTCTCCCTCTTTTTGTGTGAACTATGTATCTTTCCACCTTTTTAATTTTAAAAAGCATGTAGGTTAAGCCTAGACTTCCCTGTGGCTAAGAGGAATAGGGTCTGATTGATTGTAATAAGGGACAGTCTAAATGAAGTGCTTGGACTTGCCCCCGGTTCTTCTATCTGCAGGTGTTGGTGAGCTCTCACCCAGGAGAATAAGGTTTTGGAACATAAGTGATTATTTACTGCTGAAGCAAGCCAAAGGCTATGCTTTTCCTCGCTGCTCCCAGCCCTCGGCCTCCAACAGGAAATGTAGTTCATTTTCAAATCCCTCTCCGAGCAAAAGAAATTCCAGCAAAATAGCCGTAAACTTTCAGAGTCTCCTCTTCTGCAGGAAAACATTAGCTTGGGTCTAAAAGAAGATGTCTTATTGCTAAGCTACTCTAAGGCTGGGATGTGGTCGATCTGTTGTACTTGGGAGTCAGTGACAGGACTCTAGAGAAGGCCACCCCACCCTCTTCCATCCCTCTCCCCCCCCC